AAAACAAGAAGATGCTGTGAAACACAAGCAGTGAACAAGAAACTTTTGGCATGGCCAACAGTCATCTGGATCTGGTCGGTTGGGCGGTTTGACGTAAAAAAAAAAAGGATACAGAATTAGATTGGACATGTGATGAAGCGCAGACACAAGATGAGATCATTTTAGAGTGCTGAACACAAGATGAGAGAAGAGAAAGAAAACAGCACAAATGACAAAAATACAAGAGAGAACAAAAGTAAAGTTGTGATGATCCAGTTTAAGAGAAAACACCGAAGATATGCTTCTTATTACCTGTCCTTGACAAATGCACTCACTCTTACACACACACTTTTCTCCTAACAAAAAAAAATGGTTGTTGGACATTGATTTGGTTACATCTTCATGGTATTTCTTCAGAGTTTCCAGGAATTTAACAAAATCAAAGAAAAATGTTTGCAATCTTTCAAAATCATGAGAAGGTGTTGTTTCAGATGGTTGGACTAAACCAACAGAGTAGAATAAAACTCTGGGAGGAAGAACGTGACAAGGAGTAGATGGTAAACACCTGAGCCAGGAAATCTGCCTGGGATCAGAAAAACATGGAAGGACGGGGACAGAGAGACATCAGAGACATTGAGACAGTTTCATCTACCAGTGAACAATCCTGTTTCAGACAACAGCTTTTTTCCCAGATTTCCCTGAAATCCTGCAGGAAACACGGGTATTTGGCTCCATCTTCATGGTATTGACACAACATGGCTGAACTCCACCAGGCTTGTTCTTTGTGGAGAATAAAACATCAACTTGGCCAAGCGAACAGAGTCGGTGGTAGAGTCGAGTCGCTGTTAACCAATGAGAGGCAAGATGTGAAAATATCAGGAAATAACCCCTGGTTTCCACTGGAGCCGTCAGCAGCACGTTACTGCAGCAGCACGTCTTGCTCGCGTAAGCTGCTGCTCGGCCCTTCCCATGAGACGCGAAGCAGCAGGGGAGCAGCTGTCACCGACCGAGCACGAAGTCACACGAGTAACGTCATCAGTAAACACAACAACAAGCAGGAGAAAACTACAACATGGCTCCAAAAAGTTTGTGTTTTATGTTCTGTCCGTTGTATAATCGCCAATACGGACCTGAAAAACAAAGAAGACCGCTAGCTAGGTGATAACTTCTCATGGGGCCGCACTTCTTTTAAAAGTAAAGCAACCGGAAGGCAGTACGTTTCTTTATTCTGAAAATCTCGGGAGCTTCTCTCCATTTCCGCGTCCGATTTCCTGTCTTTCCTTCCCCAAAAATGTCGAACTTGACCCGTTTCAGAGGCGTCGCGCGTAGAAAATAGAACCGGCGCGTAAAGGCCGCGACATGCTGCTCCTGAGACGCGGCCGACTCGCGCTGCTGACGGCTGCTGACGGCTCCAGTGGAAAAGGTTCTGTTGACCACAGCGGTTCCTATCAGCAGCTATGACGTGCTGCTGCAGTAACATGCTGCTGCAGTAACGTGCTGCTGACGGCTCCTGTGGAAAGCCGGGGTAAGACTCTGCCGTCTTCTGCTGCCCTCTCCTTTGTCTAAATTCTACTTCCTGAAACAGCAGCGCCAGAGCTTTTAGTCCCCACAGAGATCAACTCACAATTTATACAAGAGACCACTGCAAATGTCTTGGAAAAAAAGAGTGAACTTGGTCTTTAAGTGTTTTTGTTGCTGAATTATTTATTATTTCTGTCTCTTCAGTAACCTTTTAATTCTCTCCCACACCTGAATCCCAGTTTGACTGCTGCAGCTAATTAAAACTACAGAGAAGGGTTAGAAATACACAACTTTTTTTTGTTTTGGGTCCTTTTTTGTTGTCCAACAAGAGAAAAGCTTTAATCATTCTACAACGTAAACTGCACTGGAACCGTGACTGACGCCACATTAGCCGCAGAGTTTTGTCCCCATGCTGAGACCTGGGAGATTTCTGAACTCCTCGCTAGCTCTGCTTCCTCATCACTCCCCATCAATCCATCAGATGTGGTAGGAGAGCAATCTCTCTTTGTTGTTCTTCCCACAGCATTCACAGGCGTCCCACAGATTCTCCTCTCTCAGAAATTACCACATTTAAGGAGCAGTTGAGTTGATTGAAACGTGATGACTTGAAAGTCTGAAAGCCCAAGAATATTGTTTTTTTTTTTTTTTTTTTTTTTTTTTTTGCTATTTTCTAGCAAAGTGCTCAGATTTTTTTAGAGTGAGAGAGAGAGATGTGGGGAAGAGTCCTTCCTTGAGGCCTGGAAAACGTTGACCTTGCTCCCTGAATTCTGCAACATGTTGACCAGATGAAACAGAAGGGAAACTAAACAGATAGTAGTGTGTGTGTGTGTGTGTGTGTGTGTGTGTGTGTGTGTGTGTGTGTGTGTGTGTGTGTGTGTGTGTGTGTGTGTGTGTGTGTGTGTGTGTTGGGAAAGAAAAGGTAGAGTTTTGAAAACCATAAATCAGACAGAGTCTTGTATTAAACTAGGTGAGAAACAGAAAAAAACAGCGGGATTCCTACAGATGAAGGACAAAAGATGGAGGAGCAACATGAAGTTTGACTGACCAGACACCTGCAGAAAAACCATTACTCATCCCTGAAAACGCTGAAAAGCAACAAACTAACTAATGTTGCAATTGATAAACATTAATCATTTAACACACATCAGTGCAACCACAACATTGTCCTGATCTAAAGTCAAACACCCATGCAGCTTTTGCTCAGCTACACTGACGATTGAAGAGGGCATTATGAAGTGTGTGTCTCTCAGCTCTTGTGTTCTGCATGATACCTGCTGGATCCAAGTCAAACCAGAATGATGCTCTAATGAACATTAAGTGTGACTGGTATTTATTGACACGGTAGCTGAAATAACCGTGTGTACATATTTTTTGATATCTCATGAAAGCCAAAAGGAGAGAAACATCACATCATCCTGCAGAGCGTGTGTGAGAATTCCTGTGTGCCACACTGTTTTATGTTGAAGCTGTAATATCCTTATCGAACTTCCTACCACAGTGCAGTTGTTGTCGTGGGTTTGAGTGCTTTCTGAGATGTAACATCACACTGCCTGTGCCTGAGGGATCAGCTCAGATATGCAGAGGAGACAAACTGCACATTATCAGAGAGGAAACATTCCTCAGATTGTTGGTTGATCTGGAAACCTGTCTGCTTGGCCTTTCTCTCCTCTGTGTGTGTGCAGTTGGCAGCACTACACACAATCAAGTGTCACGGTCTTTTTCAACATCTGTCCACTGGAAGGCTGGCATACCACAACAACACACATACACACACACACACACACACACACACACACACACACACACACACACACACACATACTTGTATTTATATGTTTGTGTGGCCCTCCATTGACTTCCATTCATTTTAGTGACTCCACTGTGCCTAACCCATACCCTAACCCAACCTTAACAAATGGGGTTCTTTTCCTAACCCAACCTAAACTAACCTAAACTAAAACTTAATTCACCCCATACCTCTAAAACCAAGTTTTAGGGTGGGCCGGCAAAATGTCCTCACAATTCAGAAATGTCCACACACTACATGTTTAAGTTAAAACTTGTCCACTTAACCCTCCCACTGTCCCAATGGGTGTGACCCCACGAGGAAAGTTGACCATTGAGCAGGGTTGATGGTTTATCCCTTGGGTCCACGTGGCAGGGGTGAGCACCACCTCACCCCTGCCACATGGACCTCAAGGGATAAACCATCAATCCTGCTCAATGGTCAACTTTCCTCGTGGGGTCACCCATGAAGACTATGGGAGGGTTAAACATATAAAGACAAGTACACACACACACACACACACACACACACGCACCACACACACACACGTGGTAAACAAAATATGTTCTGAAATAAAAGTACAAATTAACATCTTAAAATGGCTTCTTCCTTTAAAGCAGGGGTAGCCTAGTCTGCCAAGCCATCCCATATATGTAAATATAGTCGTGCCATGACCCACTGACAGAACTCAGTTGTGGTGTGGAAACTATGTTTTTTTTAACTGTCTCTGCATGCTATTGGACAACGAACAACGTCACGTCCTCACGGCTATGGATGTCAATCAACGATGCAGTTTGCCATACACTGTCGAAGAATACACAAACCTATCCTTTTTTCTTAAATAAAGGAATTAAGTACCTCTAACTGCTCTTGACTCAAAGAAAAGCCCAAGTCTAAATAGTCCACAGTTGATGCCAAAGCTACTTCAAACGAGTTGCCGCCATCTTTGTTGTTCCCTAATGTGATGCAATTGTTTCTTGTAAAAATTATATTTTATCTTTATTTTTGTAGTTTTCATCTACTGATCAGTGGAAATAATCAAACATCAAAAAATTGTTTAATACGCCATTAAAATGCCAAAAAAGAATTTTATAGAATGCAGCTTTAAAGTGCAAAAACATGGAGAGGAAGAACTGCCACCAATGCAAAATTAAATTAGCGCAATATCACATTATGATGTGATCATTTTATTGATCTTACAATATAATTTTCACATTTAAACAACATAATATCAAATTTTAACAATATACAATTGTATAAAGTTTGTATTGTACAAATATAACAATTAAATAGTAAGAATGTGAAAATTATAATACAATAGTTATGACATAATAAGGTGATTTCACGCTATTTTCTTCATGGGTAGCAGCTTTATGTGTCTGTAAAAAAAATTTGAAAATATTATGCCAAAATAGAAAAACTGTCAGAAAGAGTCCAACAATCTTGACTAAATATTTGTGTTTTTGATGAGGACAAAATTAGAATATTCTTGATATCTGTTACATGTTTAGTTAAAAATAAATGTAATTCTAAACGTAATAGCATCAGAGCTTGATTTGGGGTATTGTAGTGAAGGACACGTGAAAAAAATCCCATTTCTCAAATGGATTATGTACATCTATTTTTTTAGTTTCTCTACATAACCCCGCCCACATAATAGGCCCCGCCCTAACTCCGCCCATATGTTGATAAAGTTTATAAAGGCTGGTTTCGTCTCTAAAGTCCGCTGAGAGCTCCTCCTCAGCAGGAGGTCGTTTATGGAGTAAAACGCGAGTTCACGTGATGCTGTAAACTGAAACACTTTCTATGAGTGAAGCTGTGAACTTTTCCACACAGACAGAATGTGGAAACCCTCCTCCGGGTCTCGCGCTGCAGCAGCCGCGGTCAGCTGCCTGCTGGTGACCGGAGTGCTGCTGGTGCTCACTGGCGGACACCCGGAGGAGCTTCCCCCGGCTGCTGCTGGGGGACCGGACTCCAGCGCTTTCTCGGCTTATATCAGGAGACTTGCCCGCGAGAGGAGAGCGGTGAGCGGTGTCCCGCGGATCATCACACCTCCTCCACCTGTGGAGCATCTCTCCCAGGCCGACCTTTTCATAGCGGTGAAAACCACCGGGAGGTATCACCGCTCCAGGCTAGAGCTGCTGCTGGACACCTGGATCTCCAGGAGCCCTCAGCAGGTGAGTCCGGGCAGGAACCAGCTCGATCCAAAAGCAAATAAATCAACTTTAGGAATGTTTTATATCTGAAACCTCTTAATACTGACTCAATGTGTTGAGGAAAGTTACTAAAATACACTTAAGAGTGATTTATTTTACATAAAAGCCAAGTTTAGGTATAAACAAGCTTCAAAAATCTGATCCTTTTTAACTCGGAGAAAAGCTGTTTCCTGTCACTTTCAGATAAAAAAAACTGCATGATGGTATTATATAGGCCATTTTTTCATAAGTAAAGTAAATATTTAATCAAATTAAGGCCAAAACGCATATATATGAAAGCTGTAATAAGTTAATTTCTTATATTTTCAAAGGTCACTTTTTTGTTAATTTTTTAAAACGTTATTTATCTGTCATGATTGTGACAGCTGAGACAGTGATTGTCTGTTTCGGTCACCCCGCATCCAGAATTTGATGAAAAACTCATTTGTAAGCTCAAGGAATTTTCCCCCCTTTGATCTTGACCAAGGGAAAAAGCACAAAGTTGCTCAATGATAAATAATTCAGATCAAATGCTGTGGACTGGCTGCCTTCAAGATGAGTCAAAAGATGCATCTGTTGCAGTAAAAAAAATGAAAACCACACACACACACACACACACACACACACACACACACACACACACACACACACACACGGGAGAGCGGTGAACTGCTCCCAGCTTAGAAGCCTCTAACCAAAGGCAGACGTGACTGCGGATTGGACAACGAGGAGTCTGATTACTATTCAATGTTTTCAGGAAGAAAAGTGTTGACATGTAAATATACTGTCCTGTGTGTGTGGGGGGGGGGGGGGGGGGGGGGGGGGTCAGCTGGCATGTGACACTTTCCTGGGTCAGGTGGTTGTGAAACTACCTGTTTCCCAGACACACCTCTTCCCTGTAAAACTGCTGAGTAATGGAAACACCACACACGCACACACACACTCACCTTCACCAACACACCCTGGGAACTCAGTAGATTTCTCATGGGAAGTTAAACATGTGCCTGATCACAAGAATAAACACACTTCACTTTCTCTCTCCTCAGTAGTTCAAGTCGCCACTGCTTCCTGTGTTGTGAAGCTCACGCTCCTGACAATCTCCCACCACCTCACCCCCAAACGCTCGTTTTCTCCTTGTCCTCATCCTCCCCTAAGTCATACGCTGCCTTATGACACACACACACACACGCACACACACTTGTGCACAGAGAGAGACTCTGAAGGGGTTTAAGAGGCTCAAAGTGGGAAAAAAAGCAGACAGATGAAAACTCACAGCTGGACTCTGTTTTCCCTCTCTTTACCGCAGGCCATGATGCGATCATTCAGCATTTATTTAAAGACTTAATAAATCTGGGCTGCATGACTGGCAGGCTGCAAAGAAAATCCCCACAAATCTGATCTGCTTACTTTAGCAGTAACTACAGAGTATTGGTTCAACGTCGTCTTTCTTCTCCTGAAAGTTATTTGAGTTAAAATGATTAAAGCTCTCAACCTTTTGTTTTAGGAAACAGTCAAATTTGCATTATGCATCTTCTAAATGCAAAACAAAAAAACATTTTCTTGTCCTTAATTGTTCATGTTGATGTAAAATGTATTAATTAATCCAGGCTGGTATACCGCTTTATAAAGAAAAGTTTATCGATATTTTATAAACACTGTTTTAAACGACAGTCAGTGGCTGCAAATTCTCTTCAATGAACTGCGATCACTGTTGAACAGGAGTTGCACTGTGTTTAAAGGTGGATCAAAAAACACCAACTGGAGTTTATAAAGTGTTTGTTAATTCAACAGAAAACAGCCACTTTTCTGAGCAGATCTGTGTCCTGCTTTAACCATGTGACACGCAAGGGGTGTGTTTAGGTGGGGAGCAATGAGCTCATGTTATTCCACTGATGATGTCACTTGCTATTTAAGTTAAAGGTTTTTTTTCTTCATAACTTCTGCAGAGTAAAAGATTTTTAACATGATTATCACAAGATTTTAATGTCTGTTTGTTTTCTTGATTCTTGGTTTCATTATCTGGTCATCTATAGCTCTATAAACCACACAGGGTGTCCGCGGGTCCTTAAAAAGTCTTAAATTAGCTTTTCCTAATTTAAGGCCTTAAAAGTCCTTAAAAATGACAAATAATCCTTAAATCCAGTTTCCAGAGGTCTTAAATTACCAAAGACCCAATAAACAAGATTATTTTTTTTCTATAAAAAGTTCGTGAATTTCTAGTTAGTGTTCAGCATTTTTTGGGTATGATGTTGGCGTAAGCGGAACCGTACACAGTCAGTTGGTTGTGAAAGGGGGCTATTTTTTTAGATGAGCACATTAGCTGGTTAAGCTAGTGGGAGCTTGCGCCATGGGGAAGTGCAAGTTTAATGGTAACTGGATGGCTAATCCCACGTTCGCGACGTGGTTAGCACCGGTTCCAGGCAATAGCTGGAAATTATCGCTTAAATTTAATTTTTAAAATAGCTTAAATTTGGTCAAAGTGGCCTTAAAATAGGTCTTAAAAAGTCTTAAATTTGGCTCCCTTAAACCTGCAGATACCCATTAATGTAGAACGGAAAGCACAGAGACAATGGATTCTTTTCTTTTGGGCTGATTAAATATCCAACAAGTCACGCGCTGGTCATTCTTTATTAATGTAAAACTGTTCTAGGGCGCAGCACATTAATTTGTCCCTGTTTTATTTCAAAATCATTGTTCTGAGAGGCAAAACAACAGACTATCTGAAGACTCATGTATGTGTGTGTTTTCACTTCCTGTGGAAAATAATAGGGTCTATGCAGCTTCCTACAAGCACAGTGACCCTCAGCCCCGTCACAAAAACACTCACGAACATGTTTACGGCGACCTCTTTAGGACCAGCTGCTCCACTGCTCATAGACAAGACCTTTGACTTGTGGACTCCATCCAGTGTCAGCACTGCTTGCTTCTGGTTTCTGGGGAAAAAAAGTGGGAGGAGCCTCACCTGAAATCACAAACTGATCTATGAACAATGGCAGCAAAGCAATTAGAGGAGCCATAAGATGTGTGTTTTTCTTCCCCTCTGGCCAGAAAAATGTTGCTGAAATAATATGAGCTAAGTGATGTTTGTTTTTTCTTCCACAGACGTACGTGTTCACTGATGGCGATGATGATTGGCTGAGGAAAAGGATGGGTGAGCTGCACACAGACACGTTTTTTTGCTGAGTAGGTGCACTTTTATCTGCTAGAAAAGCAGGAAGCAGGCTGCTGATGGGGCAGCACTGTTTCCACTGAGTGCAGGAAACCATCTCGGTTTCATCTACAGGCTTTCCTTCTTTTCCAGATCTTCATCTTTTCACACACATGCTTCCACAACATTTGCAAATAATGTTATTTAGTAGCTTACCTGCTTCTAATTGAACATATTTTTTAAGTTTCTGCTTCTAAACCAAAAATCATATTTAATCATTGAGGTTTTTTTCCCCATGATCATCAGGAACACATCTGATCAACACCAACTGCTCAGCAGCACACAGTCGTCAGGCCCTCTCCTGTAAAATGGCTCTGGAGTACGATACGTTCCTGATCTATGGAAAGAAGTGAGTGGCTTTCCTACACAACACACTCCAGATCAAGAATGTAAGCTTTCCAACCTCCTGTATCATGCATTTTAGGTGGTTCTGCCACGTGGATGACGATAACTACCTAAACATCGGCTCCCTCTTGAAACTCCTGTCTCAGTACAGCCACACTCAAGACATTTACATCGGTCGGCCGAGCCTCGAACGGCCGATTGAAGCTACAGAGATGTTGGACACTAAAGAAATGGTAATTTATACTTTCACAAGTGTTTTATTAAAAAGTGTTTTTCTCTTTTAGGAACAGTGTACTGTCCAGACCGCTCCGCCTTACTGTTTGTGTGTGTTTGTGTGAAGAAGCAGGTTCATTTCTGGTTTGCTACTGGAGGAGCCGGGTTCTGTCTTAGCAGAGGTCTTGCACTGAAGATGAAGCCATGGGCAAGGTGGGGATTATGTTCTGACATTTTAGTCACTTCATTAACTCATTCACTGCCAGCCATTTCCGTATCAGAAAAGCCCTTCGCTGCCAGCATTTTCACAGTTTTTTTAAGTCACAGAATGTTGGATGATGTCAACGCCAAAACTACCAAAACAAAGAGGAGACTCGCCTCTTGATCAGGAAGAATCAGCGTGTTTCGAGCGTTATCCGTTCTTTCATAATTCGTTGTTGAATTGTGATCGGCAGAAGCTTTTCCAGTTCGCGCCTCACTTCTTTTTTACAGCAACAGCCCAAAACGATCTCCCAACACATGGATTTTCTGCTTCCTGATCACGTGACTTGTGACGTACGTGGATGAAGATCGGCTTTAGAGCTGGGATGTTTGTTCTCACGGTACGGGGGCTCGTTCTGACTCCCACACAGTAAAAAAAATGCAAATGGCGACTTTAGTCGTCATTGACAATGAACGGTTGGATTTAAAATGACGACTTTTGTTGTCAATGGCAGTGAATGAGTTAAAGGGATATCCCACCCAATATTGGAATTTAGTTTGTTTAGAAATTTCCCAGAGTTAGAGAAGTGGGAAAAAAAACAAATTTTAACCAGCTCAGCCATTCTCATGACCCGGCTGTACACCTTTAGCTTTAGCTTAGCATAAAACAAAGTGAATGGATCCAACTAGCATTGTGAGTAAAAATGTCCTTAAAATCACTCAGTAGAGATCCCAATTCTGCTTGGTGACCTAAATAATCAGACTGACTGCGACACAAAGGGATCGCAGGCGCCATTTTACTCGCAATGCTAGTTGGATCTTTAGCTAAGCTAAAGGGAAAGGAGTGCAGCTGGGTCAGGTGAATGACCAGGCAGTTGAGAGGGCACCACCTAGAGGTGGAAAAATGTATTGCGCCTTTAAGCCCCCTACCTGCTTCGATCAGCCAGCTGGAAGAAGCGCGCTCATTCGTGCCCCTCTACAATTATTATTCTCACATTATGCGGTTTATTCATATACACTGAACAAAAATATAAATGCAACACTTTTGTTTTAGCTTCCGTTTTTCATGAGCTGCACGCAAAGATCTGAAACATTTTCTATATGCACTAAATACCCTTTACTCTCACATATTGTTCACAAATCTGTCTAAATCTGTTAGTGAGCACTTCTTCCTTTGCAGAGATAATCCATCCTGCCACAAGTGTGGCACATCAAGGTGCTAAAATAACTTTTGCCACCTGTTGAAATAAGAGCTTTCTTGGCATCAAACTGTGTCTTTAAAATTGAAATTGTACATTAAATAATATGTTAAATCAATGGCACATATCAAACGGAATCAGAAACTAACTTTTATCAGCCCAAAGTGTTCCATTCATTTTTTTTACAGTACGGAACCTATAAGTAGATGGGCGTGGCTGCATGATGGCGCAGTTGTTAGCACTGTTGCCTCACAGCAAGAAGGTTGCAGGTTCAAAACTCAGCTGTGGCCTTTCTGCGTGGAGTTGCATGTTTTCCCCATGCATGCGTGGGTTTCCTCCGGGTACTCCGGTTTCCCCTACAGATCACAACATGCCCTACAAGTTAAAAATTGTACGTTGCTTTGGATAAAAGCGTCTGCCAAATAAATAAACATAAACTTAGCCTCCCTATGTCACAGAACAGCGTCAGACCATAACTGTTATAAATTTATATTTAAAAAAATCATGCATAATTCCTGAAAGGGGGAAGATGCTGAATTGCTGCTTTGAACATCTAATTTTAATGCTCTTGATGTTTTCTTACCCTAGTGACGGTGCTTTCATGGCCACAGCTGAGCACATTCGACTGCCTGATGACTGCACCGTTGGCTACATCGTGGAGGCGCAGCTTGGTGTGAGCCTTACCCGCTCTGCGTTGTTTCACTCCCATCTAGAAAACCTGGGGCTGGTGTCAGACATAAAGAACCAGGTGCACACACTCATACAGACTGACTCGTTATTGCCTAATACAGTGTTGGGTGTAAAATCTGTTATTAAAGTCGTGTCTCTGTTGTTCACCAATCAGGTCACTCTAAGCTACGGCACTGTGGAAAGCAGGAGGAACACCGTTAATTTGAAAGGATCGTTTTCAGCAAACGACGATCCCACCAGGTAAAGTCAAGCACAGATTAATCATTTTGATTTTACTTTCTGTAATTTGAGACAAAATGTTAATTTACGAATAAACCCACACACTTTTTTTTTCAGCCTTTATTTTACCAGGTAAAATGTTTGAGAACATGTTCTCATTTACAAACATGACCTGGCCAAGAGGTCTTGGAAGGAGGTGCAAAAAAAAAAAAATAATAATAATAATTAAAAAATACAACAACAAAAATAACAGATAAGCACATAACAGATCAGACATAATAGGTTATCAACAGGCATTAAAAAAATTTGAATCTGGGTCTGAAAAATAAATGAACATATACACATGCATGCAGAATTGTTACACCATACAGGGAATTGAATGTGTGTGAGTGTATGTAAATAAGTGTGATCTGGGTGATCAACAAGAGCAGCAGTCAGCTATGATTTGGAGAAGTTTAGGTCTAAAGGTTGTAATAGGTGTCAAATGTGCAAGTTTAAGGGTGTTTTGTAAATTGTTCCAGTCATAAGCTGCTGCAAAGTGGACGGATTTAAGGCAAAAGACTGTAGAGGTGTTGGGTTAGGGTTAGGTACAAGATGTGGAGGTCCTAATCCTCTGCCCAGCCACTTCCTCCCTGCAAGTAAAAACTTTGCTAACCTTACAAAAACAAAGTTGTTGAAGTTTCTATTAATCTAAAACACAGGCTGTGTATTTTGTTGGATGCATCCATCCATCCATCCACTGTCTTCCACTTGTCTGGGGTAGGATCGCGGAGGCAGCAACCTAAACAGAGAGGCCCAGACTTTCCCCTCCCCAGCCACTTGGGCCAGCTCTTCCAGTGGAATAAAGCTTATCCTGGCCAGACAAGAAACATAGTCGTGTCCTGGAGCTTCCTTTGGGTGTCCTTCTGGTTGCCCGTAAAACCTCACCAGGGAGGCACCAAGGAGGTATCCTAACCACCTCAACTGGCTCCTATCAATGAGGAGCGGCGGGCCTATCTTGAGTCCCTCCCAGATGGCCGAGCTTCTCACCCTATGCCTAAGGGAGAGCCCAGCCAGGCTGCGGAGGAAACTCATTTCAGCCCCATCACATTTAGACTGAAAATATTAGTGAAGTCGTTCCGGGGGGGGGGGGGGGGGGGGGGGGGGCTCTAATCAGTAGCTACTGATATGACTAGAATCTAACTCTGCACCTTGGTAATAGGTATTTGGTTGAGAAGAACATCAGCTTTAAAGAGCAGAAAAGTCTTATGTGCAGGCTTTTATTGTGCCTGTTCTACTATGAGTTTCCTGGCTTTGTTCATTGTGTTTGTGTTTGCAGCTAATTGTTTTCATGGCTTTAGTTTGAAATCTGCAGTTGCTAGCTTCCAGGCATTGTGACACTTGCTTCCCTCTCTTTCTCAGATTCAGGTCTGTCCATTGTCTGTTGTACCCAGACACGTCTTGGTGCCCCAGCCTCTAGTGACTCCAACACCCATCCAGAGACAAAGAAAGCGGTATAAAGAGATGCAGGACAAACACGTCTGCAGAGTTTGTTGCAGAGTCCTCTACTTCCATGCTCTGCAGAATGTCAAGGGCACGCAGATGTAAATATGTTTCTTATTTTCTCACTAGAAGAGGGACTTTTTAGAAAGAAGCAGTTGCATCAGTTTTAAACCTGAACTTTGACCCTGCCTGTTTCTGCTTTTTTGACACAATTTTATCATTTTACTTGAGACACAAGTAGTGCTGTTTGATGCCTTGCTCAGTCCTTCCTTTAAGTCTGTATTTATGAGTTTATCATGTCTCTTTCTCTTTATGCACTAAAGTTAACAGCAGGATTAAATTAGCTGGGACTAATATAATGAAATTAAGGAATCTGTCACTGAAGGTGGGTTCAACCATTTGTTTTTAGCTTGACTGAGCAAAGTTTTAAAGTATTAACATCTTTGATATGAGCACTTTGACTATTTTTAGTTCTGCATTTTATCAAATGAAGAAAAGAAAACACACAGGACACAAGCTAGATGTCTTATGAAGCTGCTCACCTCAGCTTGCTGATTCTAAAACGGCTGCATTTCTTTACGGTAAAACAAGCAGATTTCCTCAGATCTCACTGTTCTGTAACTTCATACTTTAAAAATTTTCAAAGCCCGTGTGCAAAAATCATTTTCAAGTTAAAGTAACAATCCAGAGTTTTTCCCCTTTCAGGAATTATTTATGTTTTTTTGTATAAAAGTGATAGTCTTACCGTGTACTGTGTTATAATGTAGGCAATACATCAGTTTAGTTTGTTGCTAAGCCCACTCTCTGTCCCGTAGAGCCCCATGCAATTTTCCTTTACCGCCACCTCAGCATTAGCCATTAGCGTTCGACATCTGCTTACACACAGATGTCAGTCACTGAGCTTGCACGGGTGTGTTTGCTGAAGTACCACGACTGAACGGCATTTTCGAGCTGTTCACAAAGCTGCAGACACGGACAATCATGGATCAGCTACAGCTAGCTCATCACCACCAGTGTGTGAATAGGTGTGTGCACATGGGGGAATGACTGATTGTCTTGTTAAGTGTCCTGGGGTGTTCTAGGACCCTCGAAGGTGCTATATCAAATACAGGCCATTTTTTAATAGTTAAAGTCCCAATAGTCATCACACACTGGTGAAATTACAGCTCCACGTTTGATCCATCCCTGTGGGGGAGCGGTGAGCTGCAGCTGTGGCTGTGCTTAGGAACTATTTGGTGGTTTAACCGCCTAATCCAACCCCTTAAAGCTGAGTTTTAAGCAGGGAGGCACTGGGTCCAATTGATAAAGTCTTGGGTATGACCCAACTGGGATTTAAACCCCGATCTCCCAGTCTCAGGGCAGACACTCATTTCACTAGGCCACTTAGAAGGTAATAAACAATGTGTTTTAGCTCATTTGCACATTCACAAACAAGAGGCTCTACTTCCAGTCAATATCATGGAAATAGAGGGAGGGGTTTATTGTGCATATTGTTCCGCCTCTAGAAGATGCCCTTTGAGAAAAAACTCCGGAGTTCTGCTTTAATGGGAGGTCAAAGGAATGGACAGAGATCCAAATCCATCATAGACTGCATTTAAAATGTTTTAGATGTCCCAACTGAAGGTTTTATGACTCATGTTGAGTTATGTTCTGTCTTTCTGTGCAGAAAAAAATGCTGTTTTTGCCTTTATTGTGTCTCTCCAGTATCTGGACTGTAAGCTAACATGTTTAATAAAAACTTAATGAATCATTTTTTGTATTTTTATTTTTTTGTGTCTTTATCTGGCTTGTCCTTTTAAATTCAATCCTTTATCTGAGCTGATGAGTTTGTTTGGTTACACACACACACACGCGCACACACACACACACACACACTGTCATGTTGTTAGGTGGAGGAGTAGGACCCGATGTGCAGAAACCCAGTACGACAAGGAGCAGGAGAGGATGTAAAATGAAACATCTTTATTAAGATGATTAGTCCAACGAGAAAACAAAATGTGGAACGAAGCCAAGAAACCTAGAGATCTAGAAGGGGGAAACAAAACAACACTGACACGAAGCAACGAACCAACATCACATTGAGACGCAGACAGGGTTAAATACACTGGGGCAGGATGAGTGAGATGAGCTGCAGGTACGTGGGGAGAGAAACCTGAGTGAATCAATTAACTAATCAGTGAGGGGAAAGTGAGCTGAGGAGGGGAAAATAACATGACCTAAGAGTAAAAACAAAACCTAAGACAAGAAGATTAAGGGGTGGATGGAGAACACAAGGAGACACATGAGGGAGACGCAGACGCATACCATGACACACACACACACACACACATTTGTATTGCTACACTTGTGGGGACCCGTCATTTACTTCCATTCATTTTAGTGACTGCATTTTGCACAATGCTAACCTTAACCCTAACTAAAAGTAATTTCACATCACACATCTTAAACCAAGTCTTTGGGTTTTTTTTCATTGTGGGGACCATGAGACAAATGTCCCCACATTACAGGTTCACCATGAAAAAATTTCCCCAAACTGAAGTAAAAGGTACACACACAGAAAGAATCAGAATTTTGGCAGACTTCATCTATATGGTTTTATGTGTTTTATTCTTGCTATTGTCACTATTAGAGGACCTGAAACAATCACTGACCTTGTTTGATGCCGTTGTTTTTACGAGGTCTAATGGCTTGGACCTATTCTGACTTCCTGTGATTCCAGATTATCCAGGTTGTCTTAAGCTGTAGCTCAATAAATAACACAATGGGTCTGAAACAAAGCTCAAGATTTACTTTTACACTGGTGTATGGACAGTGACACCTACTGGCAGTGAGTGCCCTTGCACAGAGCAAAAACTACATGAGATTTTTTTCTAAATGTTTAATATCATGTACAGTACTAGACATGGTTTTGTACACCTATCAATTTTTATGAATATTTTACATACCAGAATAATTAACTGAATCTAGATTTTGGTAAATCAGTAATAAATGTTTAATATAGGGATATAAGAAAATGTCGTTACGGCAATATATCATGACTTTTTTTCCCCCTGCGATATTATACCGATATTTAAAAGCCATCCATCTAATTTTTTGAAGAAATTACATGCAAACATTTGTGTATTGTCTTTAATTTTGGTGCAATTCAAACCACGGCCGTTAGTTAGCAGCAGTGTGCAATGGTTTTTTTTTTTTTCATCCAGTGAAATGTAAATCCCTCTGTCATGGTTCAGATACCTCAATGTTAAACATGTTAAGTATCAGTTTGGACTGTTCACTGAATTTTCCTACAATAAATTCAGCCTAAAAAATCGCTATTAACGTCTGACTGACTGTATCCCAATATATCGCCAAAAATGTCACCAATACACATCCCTAGTTAAATAGTTGCAGTATTTCTCTCCATATATCCGTAGTTAATGTAAGTAATTTTGTGACTTTGCAGACTAATTTAATGTATCACTTATTGTGTTTTTGGAATCCCAGCAAATGTTTGGCAGCTGAACATCACACAGAAAACTGTGGAAAGGACAAAAAGAAGAGTCCTGATCAGTATGTTAAAATTGTTTTAATTTCTTTGTTTTAACATTTATTCCAGGCTGAATATCATTACCACAGTTTTGACAAGTATATAGTTAATATCAGTTAAAACCATCAGAAAATAAAAACAGCAATAGAAAACATTGTTTGTCACATTTGGACACAAGGTGTATCTGAAGTTCTGTAAGTGGCACACACACGCGCGCACAACACACACACACACACACACACACTTATACCACAGCTTTGAATCTGAGCATGGCTCATTTTCTCCCCCAATCAAAATAGTGATTCACAGAACTTCAACACAACCCAAAGTCGTGTGTACACTGGAATAGTCATCTTAAAACATTGCAAGACAGAGTCATTCACCATTAATATGAGACAAAAATGCTGTTCTTGCCTGTATTCTCCTACAAAACACCTAGCTATTGTGTTATAATCTGCATTATTTTTTTTACAAGTGAGAAACATAAAAAAACATGTTGGGGTATGAAGTTTTCTAAGAGTTTAAAAACATTTTGAAAGGCCACTTATCAGTGACTTGTCCCACAGATTGTAACAATGTTTGCTTCAATGGTGCAAGAAAACACTGTCAAGTACTAGACCATAGGTAGCATGGTTACCATAATAAAATCACACGTTAAGATTGTCTCGCTAATACGAGAAGTGGTCATCAATTATTCGTGTAATATTAAACTGCTGTGTAAGGATGGCTGAAGGCTTGGCTTTAACTATGAGATTGCTGTGAAATTCTGATAGAAGAGTCTACTTCACCTAAAATGTGAAAAGAGCATGAAGTGAACAGGACAGAATCACACAAAGAGATTTTACATGATTCTTCTATGAATGAGTGCATTCGTGTGTGCGTTACTGTGTGTGCAGCGGCGATGTAGACATGACTCAGGCTATACAGGCAGCCAGTCAAACACACCGATCAACTGTCCTCATACAGAGTAACACTGAGATAGATCACGCTGCAGAAAGATCACACACACACACACACACACTGGTTCACTACTACTGGTTTTATACACTGTACACGGTTTCTAGAGCAGGAGGGAAAGCCACTGGCAGTGTCCAGGCAGTGAGTTTTAATTCTCCTTCTCACAGTCACCTTGAACAGAAGTTATGCTTGAGTAGGAAAAAGAGAAGACAGAGAGATATAAAGGGTGCGACCTACGGTAGGCAAAATAAAAGCTTAAAAAGACACGACAATATGGAACAAGAAGATAAATCCAACATTTTGTCACAGTATCATGTCCTAAATATAAACTTAAGTTAAAACAACACACCACTCAATGTTCATGTGACTTATGTAACTTTTCCAGGTTTCAGGACACCATCTCCTTTCAAGTGTGAACAAGAGTGTTCTATATTGTTTCTCTCTATGTTCCTCATCACATTCCTGGAATTCAAAAACAATTGAAAACGTAACAAAACAGTTTCTGTCCCTTTCAGTCCTGACCTTTTTAAAACCTTGAGAGCTTTACATAGCACCTTACACACGTTAAGTCCCAGTTATGTGTCCGTTGTTCCCCTTTTCAAATGTCTTTCAGTTCCTTATCATTGACAGTGCAGGAGAAACCCTCCATGTGAGATTTATTCCCCTTATTTAAAAGTCAGCTGCAGGCTGAAGGAGATGAAGACAGAATCAGGCATCCTTCTTTTCATTTTCCAGTTTTTTGGCACAGGTGGAGCCTTCTCACATTTGTGGTGTCACACCTCCATTTCCAGATACAAGCAGTTGTTTTACAACTCGATTCCTGGCTCATATTCAAAAAGGCATTTATCAATGCATGTATTATATGTGCATGTAAACAAGTCCCAAAAAATGGATACACGTTTTTAGCTCACAATTCAAGATGACTGTGTTAAAGTGGGAATGTGAATGTGGTGGCACAGTTCAGTTACTATCTAAACATGGCTTTCTGATTCACTGGCATATCATTTGTAAGCATGAGTTCTCAGTTAGTTTATCCACCAGTTTGTGCCTATGTGTTTGTACAAGAGAAACGGCAAAGATTTTCCATGATAAACACACAGCAACACCACACAACCAGTAAGGATTCAACAGTCGGTTTTCTACTAAATCAGAATAAAGCACATGTTGACTATTTACAGCTCTGTACAAGTGGTTGTGTATGTTTAGGTTGTGTATGCACTTGCAAGTGTGTGGTCTGAATGTAAAAATGATACTGGAATGTGAAAGTGGTATCTGGGTGGGGAAAGGGGCCTGGATGAAAGCCTACAGATCCCAGTGGAGGGAACCATGTGGAGGTGTGTTTGTTGCTATGCGTTGTGGTTACATGAGCAGAACCATCACAGTGGTCTTGGAACAAGCAGGTGAGTGTGGATCCATAAAGAAGCAGAGTAGAAATAGGGACCTAGGGTGGTTTTCCTTTTTTAAGATAACAGTGAGAAGTAGAAGTTGACGTTCAAAGTGCAGTCGCTTGTGGTGTTTGTCAGATTCATTGGACTTTGCAAAGTGGGGTCCTGTTGGCTCTTAAATGCACTTATCTGAGCTCCGGCATGGAGTGTTTTGTTGGGTCTTCATATTGGCTGTGAGAACAGGACTGGGGCAGTATGGATCTCAACCTAGTGGACCGAGGACTGTGGTCGGGCGGCAGGGTGAGGCCGGCTGGCAGGATCCAGTTGGTCATTTGGAACGGAGCGGTTCGGTTCTGGTCCGGTCGATTGGTGGCCAGGTATTTTGCTCTCATACTGGAGGTGTACTAAATAAGGAGAGAGGGAACACAAAAGACGACAGGAAGCGTAGGGGAGGAAAACAATTTGAGGTGAGGAGAAAGAGGTGGGAACAGGAAGAGGAGACAAGGAAACAATGAAGGACAATGATTAAGACTTGTTCACGATAGATAGATAGATAGATAGATAGATAGATAGATAGATAGATAGATAGATAGATAGATAGATAGATAGATGATTGATAGATAGATAGATAGATAGATAGATAGATAGATAGATAGATAGATAGATAGATAGATAGATAGATAGATAGCTAGATAGATAGATAGATAGCTAGATAGATAGATAGATAGATAGATAGATAGATTGATGATAGATAGATAGATAGATAGATAGATAGATAGATAGTAGATAGATAGATAGATAGACGATAGATAGATAGATGAGATAGAAGATAGATAGATAGATAGATAGATAGATAGATATAGATAGATAGATAGATGATAGATAGATAGATAGATAGATAGATAGATAGGATAGATAGATAGATAGATAGATAGATAGATAGATAGATGATAGATAGATAGATAGATAGATGATAGATAGATAGATGATAGATAGATGATAGATAGATGATAGATAGATGATAGATAGATGATAGATAGATAGATAGAGATAGATAGATAGATAGATAGATAGATAGATAGATAGATAGATAGATTAGATAGAAGATAGATGATAGATAGATAGATAGATAGATAGATAGATAGATAGATAGATAGATAGATAGATAGATAGATAGATAGATAGATAGATAGATAGATAGATGATAGATGATAGATGATAGATAGATGATAGATGATAGATAGAAGTAGATAGATAGATAGATAGATAGATAGATAGATAGATAGATAGATAGATAGATAGATAGATAGATAGATAGATAGATAGATAGATAGATAGATAGATAGATAGATAGATAGATAGATAGATAGATAGATAGATAGATCGATAGATAGATAGAGAATAGATAGATAGATAGATAGATAGATAGATAGATAGATAGATAGATAGATAGATAGATGAGATAGATAGAAGATAGATAGATAGATAGATGATAGATGATGAATAGATAGATAGATAGATAGATAGATGATAGATAGATAAGATGATGATAGATGATAGATGATAGATAGATAGATAGATGATAGATAGATAGATAGATAGATAGATAGATAGATAGATAGATAGATAGATAGATAGATGATAGATAGATAGATAGATAGATAGATAGAGTAGATAGATAGAGATAGATAGATAGATAGATAGATAGATAGATAGATAGATAGATAGATAGATAGATAGATAGATAGATAGATAGAGATAGATAGATAGAGGTCATGTGACCAGTCATTTGGACAGCCAGGGTTTGATCCCAACAATCTTTATTACTGATTAGGTCTGATCAGGTGAATAGGATGTTATTGTAAATATGGCAGATGTGACTGGTCACTAGTTAGTGCTCTACTTCTGATGTAGTAGGTTAGCCTGGTATGAGTTAGTGGTTGGTCACTAGTTAGTGCTCTACTTCTGATGTAGTAGGTTAGCCTGGTATGAGTTAGTGGTCTTGTGTGAACACCTTGGTGGTTACAGAAGGTCTCTGGTTTCTACATCACTGCAGAAAAGAGAAGGTCAGCTCTGCATAGCAGAAGGGGCCAAATCAACAGCCCACATCTGACGAACGGAGGCTGTTTATCAGAGTGCTACGGGTAAACAGTGGAGGCAGGAGAATGAGTGCTACTGTGGCTGCTTAGTGGTGAAATGTGACGAGGCACAGAAACAGCGGACACATACACCTCGACCAGAAGGTGCACACACAGACAGTGTGGGAACAGGAGGGAGGGGAAGCAGGACCTTTAGAGGTTTGGGCTTGGGTTTGTTCAGGGGCAGAATTATCTAAAATGTTTGAACCTGACAGTAGTTTTTCGTCTTCACGTGGAGCAAAGACAACATCTGTAAAATATTTTTTAAAAATGCTGTCTGTGCTGGATTTGATCAATGCTGTCAGTCCACAGCATCCTGATGCGCAACTTGTACAGTGGATACTATCTTCATCAGCTACAGGCCCAGCAGTACATCAATACCACAAGTGTCAGGACTTAGTTTTTTCTCTTTTTGTTTTTACTGAACGCGTCAAAAGATAATAAGTGACATGTGCAGTTTCCCCACATGGTAGTGACAGCCCTATCAAAACAATCAGCCACACTCTACATCAGAAATAGAGACCAACTTAGTGCCTAACATGACACGATATAAACAAATCTGAAACAGGAAGCTTGCTCTTTTAATACAAACTCTACTGACAACAGGCATCTTATCAACCTTCCAGTTATCCCAGGCTGCCAAAATGACTTTTGTGAGCACAATCCATGACTATGGTCTAGTTTGAGCACAAATGACACTTGTATTGATTGGAGTGGGGAAAGAGGAACTATCTCCCAATATCCACAAACAGCATGCCATGGGTCTTTTGAGAAACAAAGGAAAATAACTGACACCGTCATTACACATAAACACAATCTCTGTGGGTTTTAGGAGTTTCCTACTGTGCTGTGGGTACTGGGAGAGAGCCGCAGGGACAGTGTGATCTACAAAGTGTACACTTACAGAGGGTGGAGGGGACTCCCTGCCAATCAGGGGGGTGTTCTCACACCGAGGGTTCTGAAAGTTTGCATTCTGGCTCCTGCATTGTAAAATAAAAGGTTACTGCATGTGGTCACCCTGCAACTGAGTTCTTGATCTTGTGATTTTTTTATGAGCTCATAATTACTCTGACAAAGGCCCTTTGATATAATAATGAAAACAAAATGGGGTTTACGGCTAAAAAACATAATTTTTTTCTCGAAACAACACATGAACAAGCATATTTGTTCCTAAAAGTACTTTTTAGACTACATGTAAGGAGCCACAGGAAACTGGCCTTCAAAAGAGATGTTGAGTGTTGTGTTTCTAAAACATTTGAAAACTAATTATTTACTATGTAGGCCTAAAAATACAGGCAAGTTAATTAGAAGGTAGAAAAATAATCATATTTCATTTGATCAACACTAAAAACGTGAGCGAGTGTCATAAATCTCTGGAGGAAAAATGAGTCGGGGAAATATTGGGCCAACAGGAAAATATACAGAGATACACAGATTGATGTAATTAGCTTTGAACTAATTATCCATCTGTGTTTAAAGGTATTTTTAGCTTTGAACAGATGTCAGTAACTGAGTCCTGATAGCAAATAACAAATTCAGTCAACTTTGGGACAAAAACAAAAACATTGCACAGGGCTTTAGTGCTTGTTTAGTGTGTTTTTATGTTTTAAGGCTTCAAAGTTGACGTATTTTGTTAACTACCTTAAAGAGTAAGAAGCAGAGGCAAAACTGAGACATTTTTATTTATTCCTCCTGTTTTTTGTTATATTTCCAGTCATTCCTGTGGCAATGGGACAAAACATGCTAAGTCAAATCAATGACCTATTTTAAGAGTGTAAAAATGCATTTGCTGATCTTATAAAGTTTTAGAAATATTGGGGTTATAAACAGGCCAGGTAGCTTCTAAAGGAAATAGCTTTTATCAGCATCTAAGGGAAATCCAGTGAAGGGTTTTCTGCTGGGACATTTTTGCTATCCATATTAAAACAACTATTCTTCTAATCTTATAGTAAGTGAAAAATAATAATATGCTGCTTTCTGGGTCACAAGGGACAAGCAATATCTAACTATGTATGGCACATTATTTCTGCTAGCCTCTTGCTAGCGGTGGGTGCTAACTCACATGTATTCAGTGACGGGGGCATTGCTGACAGTATGGGCTGTAGCGGGCAGGCTAGCTTCGCTACCATAGCTGGAGCCACAGCTGTAGAGACTGGGCATGTGAACGCGGTACAGGTTATCGTGCACACCGCCACGTGAGGTACCCGACTCATCTTCTCCATCTTCCTCATCCGTCCTTCAAATGGTTGAGTTAAGAGCAGGGCACGAGAGGGGGGGCAGAGGGAGGGGAGATCCGAGAGAGACAACAGTGTAAACAAGTGGTTGAAGAGGAGGTAAGGAGAGGGAAGGAGTTCCCCAGATACAAAAGACTGTGTGAGGCCACAACTCGAGCCTTTAAGCAGCTGAATGCGAGGCAATGGGTCATCGGCAGCAATCACTTACAAAACAAATCCACTACAAATACGGACGATTCCAGACAGAAGCTCTCTTTATTTCTGCGTGTTTTCAGATAAAACAAAGTCTTTAATACCTTAAAGTAATTTTAATAGAGCATCATGCAGTACTTTGCTTCATGCAGTCATCTTCTATTCATTATGTTACCAAGCGACTATGACAAAATGTAAAACGGGATCTAATTGTATTAATGCTTATTGATGTAACTTGTGCTTCATGAAAATTAAAGCAAAAAACAAAATTATCAGGGAAAAAAGGAAAACATATGGCTGAACTGAGAAAACCATTTTCAGACATAAAATGGTCAAAATGTAAAACGTCCAGCAACACAAGAAAATGGCATCAAAAAGATAAAGTGCTGATTTGGAAGCTGGATCTCTACAGATTAGCAGTAGGCTGTCCTCTCATGACACAGTCAATTGGTAAAACCATCAATGCACCGTTCCTTGTCCTCGTTGTTGCATCTGTATCAGCTGTCTGAATACTGAGAAAATAGAATGGAAATGGCAGGAGCGATGTATGGAATATTTTAGGGCCCGTGTTTTGAGTGTTTGAGTTTTGACTGTGTTCTACCACTAGATGGAGGTGTTTCACTCTTACAGTTAAATTGGAGTAAAGCTTAAATAGGAACCAACCCAGTAAGCAGAGTCAGAGACAAAACGAATTAATGCCTAAAACCTGCTGGGCCATACACATACTGATCCATACCCAACATACAAGCTTGAAGCACCACTATACTGGCGCAGCCGTGTTGTGTTTGCCTAATAACTCAAATTCATCTCTGCATGCAGAGTCTGTCGCTCTTCCAGTGATCTTATTACTTGGCTGCTGAAATGGTCATTTGCATGGACTGATTGTCTGACCATGGGATCAATCAGTTTTCTCAACGTCCGCTATCATTTGCTGAAGCCCAAAGCATTTCCAAATCAGGACGGGGAGAGAGGGAAGGGAAGGAACAGAAGGAGGAAGTGGGACACGATTAAAAAAAGGAAAAATGTGTGGTGACATTCTATCCAACACAACACTGGCGCTCAGAGTTTATAGAGAAAAGAAAATGAGAAATGAGTACAAACATAGTAACAAACCATATCAGCCGGACTGCCGATGCTCGTGGCAAACAGTCAAATAAACAGGAGAGAACTGAGCAAATGCAAAGACAGGCAGGGAGACAAAAAGGGAGATAACAACAGCTTGGGAAGCAAAGACCCAACACCGATGGCATGCATGGGCACCAGGTGGGTTATCTGCATCCGGTTAAATCATAAGACAGTTAGAAAGTTAGTCAGTGTACAGGTTAACTAAAGGTAAGGACTTAGAGGTGTTAAGGGTTGTGTGTGCCCTGTATATTATATCATTCCACTGCAACACATGACTCCACTCAACATTACAATGATTAGCGTTCCAATGCCACTCAATGTGGGTGGGATCTGCTGCTTATCATCAGACACTTTGTGAGGCCAACACAGAAACGCGACACATGACATTCCCGTGACATAACTCGTGTGTCCGTTTCTGTGGGTTTTATGTTTTGCAATTGAGCTGAAGCAAGGTGTGCATGGAAAACGTGCACAAGACAAACTGAATGCGTTACCTCTTCCGAGGCCAAGTATGTGGCACACTGCACACAATAGAGGAGAACATCAGAGCGGTGACGAAGGAGAAAAGAACCAAGTAGATGAGACCCTCCACCCCATCGTAGCACAGCCCAGTCAAAGACTGGACATAGTCCTTAAAGACAAAGCAAAAGGACACACATCAGGGTGGGTTTTCAAGAATATTTCTCTTATAAAGCAAACCACAAAGTGACTCACCATGTGTAGGCTGCGACAGTCAACCAGAGCAGTCAGCTGGTGAAGACCGACTTCGGTGGAATTCAGCACAGACTGGATTTGCTCGAGGTTCTCCTGCAGGGACGGAGTTTTAACGTGTGCACTGACAGATGAGGATGTTCATGTGTTTAATATACGTGTGACATTTTTACATGTTCATTTATTGGATTCAGATTCATTCAACTGCAAAAACAAACAAACCAATGTTGCAAAACATGGCAAACTGGAGCGCTGCAGCATTCAATGAGCATCTCTCTGTTAGAGCTGAAGCTCAGATCACCAAAGACTGCACAGGGACAAATGGGGACAGACACTTTTAGGAGCAGCTTGTTAAAAATACGTAATGATCCCGGCTTCAATGGCAATAAAAAGCAAGTGCAAAATAAGCGGAAGTCCGCAGCAGAGCAAAAACAGCCCACATACCCATATAATCTTTTATAAAAAGGACACAATTGCAACACATTGCCACCACTGTCTGACCACTTATAAACGACCTAAGGGACCCTGATGCCACCACAGCGCAAATTGACAGCATTGTTTTGTAAAAACTGCTAATAAGTGTATGCAGCCTATATTCAATCAATAAAACACAGCAGTGTGATGACACCAGTACTCCTGTTTGTTTTTAGGTTTGTAGAAAAACAACATCCAAACATGTTAGGTGTAAAAATGTTTTTATTTTAACCAAGCTGCTCTTAAACTGTTAGGTCTTCTTTTTAGAGTACTAGTACAGATTATTACACACACACACACACACACACACACACACACACACACACACACACACACACACCTTGGCACTGGTATAATCACGTGTTGCTGATCTCAGTAGCTCTGCCACATCATCCTGCATCTCCACCAATGCCTTGTGACTCCCCGACAGCCTCTACAAAACAAGCACAGAAAGCTCAGTTCCGATTACTCTACAACCCATGAAAAAGAAGTCATCGGTGTTTTTTGGTTTCACAAGAATAGAAACAATATAATTACCTGCTGGAAGGGGTTAACTTTTCCAGAGCTGCATCTCAGGTAATACTGCAGGATATCTGGATAAAACAAGTAAATTCACAATCAACATAAACTCAGACACGTTTGAAATAAGCAGTCGGTTTGGTGCATCGAGGCTTTTCATGCCCAGTTTCTTCCTACAGACGTTTCCTTTTGTTTCAGTTTTATTCAGGCAAAATAATGTTTGTGCTGCGACTGCAACATCTGGGCTCCACAGACAGGAGATAGAGCGGAAAGTACGGAGAGATAACAGGACTCATTAGCTGTGGGAAAAGGCAGACGAGAAGAGGGAACTGAGAGGGAATGAGCAATGTGACAGGGTGAAAAGAGGGAGCACACTAGTTCAGGGTCGTCAATGAAAACATAAAAATTGAGATTTTTTTTTTCTGTAAAGCCTCTGAGGCGAGGAGACGAAGAAGAGCGAGATGGGAGTGCAGGGTCGCTGAAGCATCGCAGCCAGCAGAGAGACGGTACCAGTTTTCTACCCGAGTGTCAATCAAACACAATCCCGCTGGAGATTAGCACAGTCACACACAAATAAATGCACACGACTTGTTTCTAAAAACAGAAGCAACGCTGTTGGTTAAGATTCGACTGTCGTTGTCAGTGGAGTCTGGTCTACACGTCGTTACTTATTTGTCGGAGGCACAGGGAACAACTTCACAAACTGGAAAATAATGTTCATTGTTTATCTTTAAATATAGTTAATTTGCAACAGAAATTCCATACGGCCACGTAAGGAAAATTCTGATGTAAGGATAAGGCAAGAGGGTGGGACTCAATTAAAAAAATGTATCTAATTAATTAGAGGCTTTATAATAAATTAATCTTAATTAATCACATTTTAATCTATCAAGAAAATTTGCCCCAAAAGCAATATTTTAATTAAAAATAATGAGGCAGATAATCCTCATGTTCCCTCGCCCAGACGTGGGTCACCAGGGCCCCCGTCTGGAGCCAGGCCTGGAGGTGGGGCACAATGGCGATCGCCTGGTGGTCGGGCTTTCACCCATGGAGTCTGGCCGGGAACAGCCCGAAGAGGAAACGTGGGACTCCCTTCCCATGGTTCTCACCACTCGTGAGAGGGGCCAAAAGGGTCAGGTGCAGTGTGTGACGGGTGGTATTCAAGAGCGGGGACCTTGGCGGTCTGATCCTCGGCTACAGAAGCTGGCTCTTGGCACATGGAATATCACCTCTCTGGTGGGGAAGGAGCCTGAGTTGGTGTGTGAGGTTGAGAGGTTCCAACTAGATATAGTCTGACTCACCTCAACACATGGCTCTGGATCTGGAACCAGTTTCCTTGAGAGGGGTTGAACTTTATACCACTCTGGAGTTGCTCCCACTGAGAGGCTCCGAGCAGGGGTGGGCATACTAGTTGCCCCCCATCTTGGTGCCTGTACGTTGGGGTTTACGCCGGTGAATGAGATTGTAGCCTCCCTTCGCCTAGGTGTGGGGGTACGGGTTCTGACTGTGGTCTGTGCTTATGCACCAAACAACAGTTCAGACTACCCACCCTTTTTGGAGACCTTGGAGGGGGTGCTGGAAAGCGCTCCTTCCGGTGACTCCCTCGTTCTGTTGGGGGACTTTAACACTCACGTGGGCAATGACAGTAAGACCTGGAGAGGTGTGGTTGGGAGGAACGCCCCCCCCCCCCCCCGATCTGAATTCGAGTGGTGTTTTGTTATTGGACTTCTGTGCTAGTCATGGATTGTCCATAATGAACACCATGTTCAGACATAAAGGTGTCCATATGTGCTCTTGGCACCAGGATACCTTAGGCCGCAGCTCGATGATCGACTTTGTTGTCGTTTCATCTGACCTGCAGCCGCATTTCTTGGACACTCGGGTGAAGAGAGGGGCGGAGCTGTCAACTGGCTACTACCTGAAGGTGAGATGGCCCAGATGGTGGGGGAGGATGCCGGTCAGACCAGGCAGGCCCAAACGTATTGCAAGGGTCTGCTGGGAACATCTGGCAGAGTTTCCTGTCAGAAGGAGCTTCAATTCCTACCTCCGACAGAACTTCCAAAATTTTCGGGGGGAGGCGGGGGACATTGAGTCTGAATGGACCCTGTTCCATGCCTCCATTATTGAGGCGGCCGACCGGAGCTGAAGTCGCAGGATCGTCGGTGCCTGTCGTGATGGCAACCCCCGAACCCGCTGGTGGACACCGGCGGTTAGGGATGCTGTCAAGCTGAAGAAAGAGTCCTATCAAGTCTTTTTGGCCTGTGGGATTCCAGAGACAGCTGACGGGGTACCGGCAGTCCAAGCGGAATGCGGCTCGGGTGGTCGCCAAGGCAAAACGGGCATGGGAGGAGTTCAGAGGGACCATGGAGCAAGACTTCCGTACGGTTTCGAGGAGATTCTGGTCCACCTTCCGGCGCCTCAGGGGGGGAAAGCAGTGCGCCACCAACACTATCTATAGTGGTGACGGTGTGCTGCTGACCTCTACTCAGGACGTTGTGGATCGGTGGGCAGAATACTTCAAAGACCTCCTCAATCCCACCGACACGTCTTCCAGAGTAAGCAGAGTATGGGGACTTTGAGTTGGGCTTTCAAATCCCTGGTGCTGAGGTCACTGAGATGGTTAAAAAGCTCCTCTGTGGCAAGAATCCAGGGGTGGATGGGATCCGCCCAGAGTTCCTTAAGGCTCTGGAGGTTGTGGGGCTGTGTTGGCTGACGCGGCTCTGCAATATCGCGTGGACATCGGGGGCAGTCCCAATGGACTGGCAGTCCTGGGTGGTGGTTCCCTTATTTAAAAAAGGAGAACTGCAGGGTGTGTTCCAACTACAGGGGGATCACACTCCTGAGCCTTCCTGGTAAGGTCTATTCAGTGGTTCTGGAGAGAAGGGTTCGTCAGATTGCTGAACCTCAGATTTAGGAGGAGCAATGTGGTTTTAGTCCTGGCCGTAGAACACTGGACCAGCTCTATACCCTTAGGGGGATCCTGGAGGGTGCGTGGGAATTTGCCCAGCCAATCTACATGTGTTTTGTGGATTTGGAGATGACGTTTGACCGCGTCCCTTGGGGGGCCCTGTGGGGGGTACTCCGGGAGTATGGGGTACCAGGCCCAATGATATGGGCTATTATGTGCCTGTATGACCGGTGTCAGAGCTGGGTTCGCATTGCCGGCAGTAAGTCGGGCTCGTTCCCAGTGAGAGTTGGACTCCGCCAAGGCTGCCCTTTGTCACGGATTCTGTTCATAACCTTTATGGACAGGATTTCTAGGCACAGCCAAGGTGTGGAGGGCATCCGTTTTGGTGACCTGAGGATCAGGTCTCTGCTTTTTGCAGATGATGTGGGCCTGTTGGCTTCATCAGAACGAGATCTTCAGCTTTTGCTTGAGAGGTTTGCAGCTGAGTGTGAAGCATCTGGGATGAGAATCAGGTCCTCTAAATCTGAGACCATGGTCTTAATTTGGAAAAGGGTAGAGTGCCTTCTCTGGGTCAGGGATGAGGTCCTGCCCCAAGTGGAGGAGTTTAAGTATCTTGGGGTCATGTTCACGAGTGAGGAAAAACTGGAGCGTGAGATCGAAAGGCGGATTGGTGCTGGATCTGCAGTGATGCGGCCGTTGTACCGGTCTGTCGTGGTGAAGAGAGCTGAGTCAGAAGGTGAAGCTCTCGACTTGCCGGTTGATCTACGTTCCTACCCTCATCTATAGTCATGAACTTAAGGTAGTGACCGAAAGAACGAGATTGCGGATACATGCAGCCAAAATGCGTTTTCTCCGCAGAGTGGCTGGGCTCTCCCTTAGAGATAGCGTGAGAAGCTTGGTCATTCGGGAGGGGCTCGGAGTAGATTCGCTGCTCCTCCACATCGAGAGGAGCCAGTTGAGGTGGCTTGGGCATCTGGTCAGGATGCCTCCTGGATGCCTCCCTGGTGAGGTTTTCCGGGCACGTCCAACCGGGAGGAGACCTAAAGGTAGACCCAGGACACGGTGGAGGGACTATGTCTCACCTGGCCAGGGAACGCCTTGGGATTTCCCCGGAGGAGCTGGCCCAAGTGGCTGGGGAGAGGGAAGTCTGGGCCTCTCGCCTTAGGCTACTGCCCCCACGACCCGACTCCGGATAAGCGGATGAAAATGGATGGATGGATGGATGCAAAGTTAAATGTTTAACTAAGGTGGTAAATTTCCTTTATTGTTAAACAGAAATAAAATAAATAAATAAAAGTGATTGTGCAAAATGTTCAGCGACTCAACCTAACCTCACCAAATCCCTTAAACTCATCCCAAACGTGTGCATTAAAGCTAAATTTAGACCTCCCTGGTGAGGTTTTCCAAGCACGTCCTACCGGAAGGAGGCCTAAAGGTAGACCCAGGACATGTTGGAGGGAGTATGTCTCTCACCTGGCCAGGGAATGCCTTGGGATTTCCCCGGAGATGCTGGCCCAAGTTAGCCTGGCCTGCCAGACTCCTCCTCTGTTTAATTCTGCACAGAGAAAGTCTGGGAACTCTCCTATTCAAATAAGCCCACCCCCTGAGAATTCTGACTGAGCCAATCAGCACTGAGTAGCATATGTCACACACCATAACGCCAAGTTTGTTGACCATGGCGACTGAAGCGGAGTTCGCTGCGGCTCTTTCCTCTGTTCTAAATGACTTGAATGTCTTTACAATCACAACAAGTAGAAGCGCTAAAAGCCTTTATTCTAAATAAAGATGTTTGCACTGTCGCCAGACGCCATTTTTGACTACAGCAAAAAAACTACAGCGACGCTCAGTTTCTCATTAACAACGAAGACAGCGGCGGAGTTCGCTGCGGCTCTTTCCTCTGTTCTAAATTACTTGAATGCCTTTAAAACCACAACAAGGAGAAGCGCTAAAAGAATTTCTTCTAAAACAAAGATATTTGCGCCGTTGCCAGACGCCTTGTTTTACTACAGGTAAAAAACTACAGCGTGCCACCGCAACCCAACTCTGGATAAGCGGATGAAAATAGATGGATGGAGGCAGCTAATCAAACAATAGATATGGACATTATTATTGTAAACTCAAGCTCTTTTAATTTCTAAAAAAGGCTTTTTATTTGTACTTCATTTCAAAACAGGAAAATAAAGTTGATCTGAACTGCTGCTGCACGTCATGCGTTAAAAAGGCTGCTGGCATAGGTTGGAGCTATTCCAGAAGCAGCCTTCTACCTCCATGACTGATTGGTCAATTCAGATGACTGACACCTCTTTTATATTGTTTGGGCCAATAGAATGAAGCGTTACTCACCAAAATTAGATAGACAGCTTAGCCAGCCAATGAGACTCATAGCATGGACATACACAAACCAGCAGAGTAAACTTCTACTGGATGTTTGAGTTTTAAGCTGGTTTTGTTTTTGGTTAAAATGATTTTGTTTTCTATCTAAACTGTTTTCAGTGTGACACACGAGGTAGGGCTAGTAGTAAACCATAAGAAAGTCTAGATGAAGCAAACTTTTCAAGATGAAACATCAAAGGTAAGACACATTTTCGGAGACCTGCAAGAGAAAGAAACGATCTCTGTCTTGGTGCTCTCTGGCTTCTAAATTTGTGAAACTTAGACGTAGAGTGTTGGGAGTTAGATATTTAGAATCGGTTGACTTCAAAACGGGCGCATAGAGTGTGCGTAAAATTTCATTTTTAGCAGCAACACTCACACATGAAGAGGGATTTCCGATCACTCATCTGATTTTAGCTTTAGTTGTGTTTGGAGCACATAACAAAGGTTTGCATGGTCTTGTAGCAAGGTGCTGGTGCAGCTTGACGGTATTTTTTTAAATTTAGGGCATGTGTTTTTCTGCTAAACTTCAATGCCCGCCCAACAATGCATTAATTTTTATTAATGCATTATTTATTTTTATTCAGTAATCATAACATTTTTCTACTGCATTGTTAAACCTATTTGAGCCTGTGTTAGTTCTTTTTTAAATTCAAATTAAATATTGTGAGTACCTTGGTCAATAACAGCGTTTTCTTTGGTTACACTGATGATGTAGGTATCCGGGGACACACAGAAGTCGCTGGCTGACTGCAAGAGGGTGAGCACACATTACACATTAGACATAAAGCTACAGTGAACACACACACACACACACACACTTCATGACAAGAAGAGATTACATCACTGCAGAGCCGGAGAGCTCGGCAGTGTTGCCATGGTTACACTTACAGCAGCAACAGCCAGTTCCAGGCCCAGAGAACCCCAACTGATTATCAGAGTCAAAACCCCGAGCAGACACACGCTGAAGGACAGAGAAAAAAATACACGTCCAAAATCTTGATTCAGCTCGGTCATGTTACATGTATGCAGCAGTTTTAGAGTCGTCCAATAGAAGCAGGTTTTGGAGAATGATGCAGCATAACGTACCCAATCAGGGTGCCTCGAGAGTTGCGTATGAGACCAAAGAGCACCAGAAGACAGATGAGAACATCAAACAGTAGCAGGCCAAGGTACCCCAACCACCTGGAAATACACAAACGATTTTACCCACAGTGAGTAGATGTGGTATTACAAAAAGAGGAATTCAACACAGAGGTAAAAAAAAAATCTGCATCCTGAAAAAGTAAACAGCGTTGAAGAACTATCTAAATATAATAAACTATGGAGGTGATTTTACATCTAAATCAGCCACAATCAGACATATTTAATGGTTTTCAACCAAAACCATACAAAGCAAACAGGCTGCTGGATCTGTCAATATTTAGAGATGGTAACATTTGTAACTTTCAGCGTTCGATGGAGACATCCAGATTTTTCAGTGTTTTTATGTTTGATCAAACAAAACTAATTCCAAACACTTGTTATTACTGACCTGTAGAAGTCAAAAGTCTCTGTTTTTTGAGCCAAGTCCTCCAGAGAGATGTCAGAGTTGGACCAGAAAGGAACATCCAACATCAGCCTCACCAGCTCGTCTAGCTGTCCCTGCAGCTTTTGGACGATGGCCACAAAGTCTGTCTGATCCTGGAAGGTCGTTGTTAACTGGACCAAGTTCTCCTCCACAGTCTGGTTTAAGGCAAGGGCGTTGTCTGACACCTGAAAGCTCAAAACAAAAAACCTCTGACAATGTGTTTATTTTTGAGAAGAGGTATTTGGCAGTCTAGCTGACAGCTCACCAGCTTCTCCACCCCAGATATAGTGCGGTTGGCATGACGGAGGGAGTACGCCAGCCGACTGGCTCCATCACTTGACTCCCCGTTTCCATAAAAGCCTACAGCAATGCCAGCGCTATAGGAGGCAGGAAAACAGGAAGTGTCAAGTGTTAGCCTCCTAACTAATTTAAAACAACTTTTTAAAAATCTTTTATTCCACATGTTAAAGGATTCCGATCTTACATCAGCACACAACAACAAAAACTAAAGCATTGACAGCCGACCTATTGGGTGCAGTTGATCTGCTTTCCAGCAGCAGGCAGTACTGAACCCAGATCTGCTGATTTGGTGTCACCCAAGACCCTCAGGCAAACACAAGGCAACTGATTCATTCAGAGTCTGCACAATAATTGGGTCACCAGACCGCAAATAATCTGATTCCCTCTGCAGTGATGTACCCACAGTCACACTTCACTCATATTTAGGGTTCCTATTGCAAACGCCCTTTATCCAAAGCACATCCTACAAAAGCAAATTTATTTCTAGCCACTCTGTTTTGTTTCATCTTATCCTTACACACACACACACACACACACACACACACACACACACACACACACACACACACACACACACACACACACACACACACACCTCCCTATTATAATTTTGCAGTCTCCCTCACCCTATAAAATCATCTGCGCCACCCCCCGCCTCTTTGTGTGCTTTATGAAAGCATGTGTGTGTGTGTGTGTGTGTGTGTGTGTGTGTGTGTGTGTGTGTGTGTGTGTGTGTGTTAGACGCGTTGCACTGACGCTGCTGCTGTTTGAGTGCACTGAGAAGACTTGTTGAGAAAATTTATGGTCATTATTATGTCAATTTATTCTAGCTCATTAAATCTTTAATAGCCCCATGTTACATCTGTCTTCACGGTACGTGAGTGTGTGTAGCTTTACAGTACTTGTGGGACATTACTCTTCTGCATGTTGCTTTACGTGCTCATTCCTCCATCAATCTGCCTCCGTCTGTCTCACTGAATTTGACACAAGATCTAAACAGAAAATCATTCCCCCCCCCCCATGAGTTTTATGCTGCTGGTTTAATATATTTTTCTTTTATCAGGAGGGTGTTATTGGCCAACAACTTGTGGAAACAAAAACAATATTCAGTGCACAAGTTAATCAATCAGCATAAAAAACTACTCACTTCAGTTTTAATGAATGAATGAATGAATAAATAAATAAATAAATAACATATGAGCCTTTGAAATTTTGGAGGAATTATTCCAAAAATCTGGGGTTTTCTGGAGTTGTTGGGTTTATTTGTCTTTAGGTTGCAAATTTTAATGTCAAAGGTCCTATAAAATGCTAAATTCACTTGCTGGAGCTTTTGAACAGGCTATATATTTCCTCATGAAAAACACCCTCAAAGTGTTATTAATAATCAAATATGTTGCTGACTTTTTAGCATTTATAGCTTTGTGGTAGCTGACTCATGTGAAATTTTGCCTCATCTGGTTGGACATAGATGACGATGAAGAGTCAAAAAAAAGCATGACGTCATGTTAAAAAGTGGAAGTACACACATGGAATCATGTAAAAAAGATCTGATCTACATTAAATATTCAATATGAATATTATAACTAATCATAAAATATTAAAAACATACAAAAAACTCTTTGGCCTGGGGTCTCTCTCTCACACACACACACACACACACACACACAAACTCACAGACACACACATGCAGCTTCCCATGACTGTATAATTCATTTCTCGTCTCTATCAAATCTGCTTCTGTCTCCATGGCAACCTTTCTAGGGCAGGAAGAAGGCCCAACTGAGAGAAATAATAAATAAAGCAGAGTGCAAAAAGAGGCAGAGAAGAGGGACAGAAGGAGAGTCAGATCGAGAGAAGTCATGGAAGCAACTGAAGGAAAAATACTTAGTTTCTTTTTCTGTTATTGTGTTTTTGCGTTTTCCTTTGTGTGTCAACAAGAACATGCGGCCGGGTCTGCATCTGCGATGAGAACACACTCCATCCTACAGCCGGGTCACTCGGGTGAAGAAGCTCACAGTTTGCACACATGGAGGCAGATAAACACAAACAGAGGAGTGTAACCATCTGGCTCGGCCCCAATTCCACCACCAAAGATTTCTTTGTATCTATAAAGGTTAGCATCGCTGCTGTCAGGAAGAAACTACAACAGATTCACAAGTGCTTCCATCACATTCACCTCAATGTACTTGCATTATGCACAAAACAGGTCAACCTCCTAAACAGAGAAAGGTTCAAATTTTGGCTCCTGTCACCAAAACACTTCTGCAGACCAACAACAGACCTCTGACTGTGTAACCGACCCTGTACCACTCTGAATAATAATCCAAGTCCTGATTTAATTACAGGCTCATCTCCTAACAGCACTTGTTAATGTGTTCAAATCCCATGTGAATTACTAATTAGGAGAGTCTCTGTCTATGGTTATAAATTACAGTGGGGCAAAAACGTATTTAGTCAGCCACCGATTGTGCAAGTTCTCCCACTTAAAATGATGACAGAGGTCAGTAATTTACAACATAGGTACACTTCAACTGTGAGAGACAGAATGTGAAACAAAAATCCATGAATTCACATGGCAGGATTTTTAAAGAATTTATTTGTAAATCATGGTGGAAAATAAGTATTTGGTCAATGACAAAAATTCAACTCAATACTTTGTAACATAACCTTTGTTGGCAATAACAGAGGTCAAACGATTACTATAGGTCTTTACCAGGTTTGCACACACAGTAGCTGGTATTTTGGCCCATTCCTCCATGCAGATCTTCTCGAGAGCAGTGATGTTTTGGGGCTGTCGCCGAGCAACACAGACTTTCAACTCCCTCCACAGATTTTCTATGGGGTTGAGGTCTGGAGACTGGCTAGGCCACTCCAGGACATTCAAATGCTTCTTACGGAGCCACTCCTTTGTTGCCCGGGCGGTGTGTTTGGGATCATTGTCGTGTTGGAAGACCCAGCCACGTTTCATCTTCAAAGCTCTCACTGATGGAAGGAGGTTTTGGCTCAGAATCTCATGATACATGGCCCCATTCATTCTTTCCTTAACACGGGCCAGTCGTCCTGTCCCCTTAGCAGAAAAACAGCCCCAAAGCATGATGTTCCCACCCCCATGCTTCACAGTAGGTATGGTGTTCTTGGGATGTAACTCAGTATTTTTCTTCCTCCAAACACGACGAGTTGAGTTTATACCAGAAAGTTCTACTTTGGTTTCATCTGACCACATGACATTCTCCCAATCCTCTGCTGTATCATCCATGTGCTCTCTTGCAAACTTCAGACGGGCCTGGACATGCACTGGCTTCAGCAGCGGAACACGTCTGGCACTGCAGGATTTGACTCCCTGCCGTTGTGGTGTGTTACTGATGGTGACCTTTGCTGCTGTGGTCCCAGCTCTCTGCAGGTCATTCACCAGGTCCCCCCCGTGTGGTTCAGGGATTCTTGCTCACCGTTCTCATGATCATTTTGACCCCACAGGATGAGATCTTGCGTGGAGCCCCAGATCGAGGGAGATTATCAGTGGTCTTGTATGTCATCCATTTTCTGATAATTGCTCCCACAGTTGATTTTTTAACACCAAGCTGCTTGCCTATTGTAGATTCACTCTTCCCAGTCTGGTGCAGGTCTACAATTCTTTTCCTGGTGTCCTTCGAAAGCTCTTTGGTCTTGGCCATAGTGGAGTTTGGAGTCTGACTGTTTGAGGCTGTGGACAGGTGTCTTTTATACAGATAATAAGTTCAAACAGGTGCCATTAATACAGGTAACGAGTGGAGGACAGAAAAGCTTCTTAAAGAAGACGTTACAGGTCTGTGAGAGCCAGAGATTTTCCTTGTTTGAAGTGACCAAATACTTATTTTCCACCCTGATTTACAAATAAATTCTTTAAAAATCCTGCCATGTGAATTCATGGATTTTTTTTTCACATTCTGTCTCTCACAGTTGAAGTGTACCTATGATGTAAATTACTGACCTCTGTCATCATTTTAAGTGGGAGAACTTGCACAATCGGTGGCTGACTAAATACTTTTTTGCCCCACTGTATATCTCAGCTGGGATTTAGAAAAGACACAGAACAAAAGCTTTCAAAGTAATAAAATTCTGTACATAAACAACCTCGATATTAAAAGCCAAAGTGCTTTTTATAGTGATGCGCAGCTCTATATCATAACCTGGTCAGTATTGCTGTGTCCACTACAAGCTTTTATTATTGTCTAAAACTATTTGTGTAATTTAAAATATGTTCTTATGCAAATAAAACCTGCTGCTTATATTGAGTGAATCAAAGCTGCTTTACCCAACTGTCACTCATTAAGGATTTGACATTAAGTTTAGTACCCAGGACAATAATCTAGAAATAAAAATGAATGTTTCTCTAAAACACCATGTTCTCACTGCTTTTTTGAAAGTGCTGACTTCTGATGTTGCTTGTAGACCATGCATCTTTAGATCAATGACATGAAGAACAGAGGCCTTTCTACTATTTAAACCCCTGCAAACCCCGTGGAAAATAAATTACATTTTCTGTATTACTTTCTGAACATTATGCCGACCTGAGCTGTTATAAATCTCCACCAGAACTCTTAAGAGTCTTTGTTTCTTGATCATATAAAGTGTGTCTTCTAAAGACAGACAAACACATAAAGCAGGTTTATCCACATCAGCAGCTTGTTACTTTTTCTGCTTCTTTTCATCTCCTGCTGCATATTTATGAATGTGAGCCTTCAACTCTAATTATACTGTCAAACGTACTTCTGCTGCGTTAAGACAGAAACACTGACAAATGACACACAAAATCCAAACTAACAAATCATTTTAAAGCTAGATGCCAGTAATTATAGGCATTTCGTGTGTATACACAAGCTCCAGAAAAACAGAGCTGGCTGGGACAGGAGGTAGAGCGAGTTGTCCAGTATAATCAGAAGGTTGCAGGTTCAATCCCGGCTCTGGACAGAGAATTCTGCTGTTGTGTCCTTGGGCAAAACGATTAACCAACCTCGCCTGCTGGTGGTGGTCGGAGGGACTGTGCTTGGCAGCCTTGTCTCTGTCAGTGCGCCCCAGAGCAGCTGTAGCTAGGTCGTAGCTCATCACAATCAGTGTGTAAATGGATGAATGATACACTGTAGTAAAGCACTATAAAGTCCTTTGACACTGAAAAGCACTATAAAAGTAATTTCATTTATCATTTAGTATACAGAAAAGAACCTGAGTCACAGTGATGAAGAAACCAAAACTGGTCAGTGTGGATTAAAAATCTGGTAAATTTACTTAGACTACCAGAAGACCGGGATTCACGGAACTAGAATATTACATGTAACTGGTACCAAGTTTTGTATCTTGTAACATATTTTGTAACTTTAACTTTCGCTTTGTAGCAAGTAATTCTTGTTTTGTAACAGGTAACTTTTATTTAGTAGCATTTACTTCTCATTTTGTAGCATGTAATTCTTGTTTTGTAACACGTAACTTTCATTTTGTAACACATAACTTTTGTTTTGTAGCATGTAATTCTCGTTTTGTAACATATAATGCTTGATATGTAACATGATTCTTTCATTTTGTAACTTGCAGAAATAAATCTATGTACTAGTTTCAAATCACAACCACAAAACGTGAATTACATGCTACAAAGCAAAAGTTACTGTTACTAAACATGTTATGAGTTACAAAACTTGGTACAAGTTACAGGTAATATTGTCCTAATCCTAGCGCCAAAGATTCTCTAATCAGGCAAAGGATGATGAACAGAATCAAATCTGAATTTGACTAATTATGGTGATGTGGTCTACAAGCACTCATAAACTGACATTTCCTTAAAGAATAAACAACCTTTATTAATTTATCGCCTCACCTGCAAACAAGCGTGGCGATGATGACGCACCACGCGGTGCAACAGCAGTCGGCGCTGGGCTGCTGAGAGTGAGTACGGGAATGTGATGATTCGTCACGCTTACATCTTCTGCAGCAAAGCCAGAAGGAGTATATGAGGAGGAAGAGGAGGTCCAGGCCCAAACACAGCAAAGCCACAGAGCCGATGAGCAAAACAGACTAGAAAAAAAGAGGAGCAAGACATGTTATCTTTTCACCCACTTGGTGTTGCATGCTATTAAACTTTTGGATTGATTCAGTCAGAGCACACTTAAAGAAAGTGTCTCATTTGAGATTTGAATAAAGAACACAGGAAGCCAGCTAGTTGAGACACAGACAGACCTCATGGTTTAGGACAGTGGTACTCAACCTTTTTCCACTGATGTACCCCCGTGAAACATTTTTTTCAGCCAAGTACCCCTAATGAGCGCTAAAACATTTTTGGTTGTGAAAAACAAGACCTTAAATAGGTGCCTTCAGTGACTGATTTATTAAACTTTGAAACTGATAAACAAGTACAAAATTCAACCATTTGGGAAAAAAAAAACAATTTTGAATATTTTAAAAGTTAATACTCCATAACTAAATGTATTGGAAATATTTTTCATCACTAAAATGTGATTCTAATCAATTAATTGAAAACAGTCACCATAAAACTATTTAAAACCATAAGATTACCCATTGAAAAATCCATAAATGTGCAAAACACTGCACATTTTTTGTAGTATCTCTTGAACTATTTGGAAAAAATATATATATAACTAGAAATATATTTAAAAAAATCAAATACAGGCCAAAGAAATGATTAAGCTAATTATAATTAAAGATTTGTGCTCATAAAAAGCATATCAACATAAAGTGTTCTCTTTTGGGATCATAGTATATCTGTTCTCTAAAAGAAATCATCAACGTCATTTTAAATAACAATTGCTAAAAACAAATGTAAATCTCAAAATATATTTTTTTAAATCAAAAAGAAGACTGAAATCTTAACATTACTGCACTGATCGGAGTGTTTTTATAGACTTTTTAGTGAGACACTTGGGCTTGTGCTTCACTGAGGATCTTTTTCATCCTTGGTGGCAGGGAGGCAACTGCTGTGATCAAGCTCTTTTTTAGACACAGTCTGCTTCTCTGATGTACCCCCTGGAGTTTCTTTACGTACCCCCAGGGGTACGCGTACCCCCATTTGAGAAAGGCTGGTTTAGGAGACCGATGCATTTAAAATCTAAGTTTTTCTATCTTCAGCTGCTAGAGACCAGAAATCATGGTTGTTCATTGGTTGTTTGGTGTAGATGAACAACAACACTGTGTGTTGTTTGTACATCATGAACAGGCACACCGCCATGGAGGCAGTGGAAGTGCTGCTGTTTGGGAGCTGTGCACACTGGAGACCAACCACACTGAGATCACTCAACCTCCACAAGCTTTGATGTGTAAAAAGGGGGGAGGTGGGAGTAGACAGTACAGAAGTGGGAGGAGTAAATTTGGAACAAAAGGAGATAAGAGGAAGAAGATGTGAAAGAAGAAAATTTCCTAACAGCTTTAAAAAGAGAGAAGTGGAAGGAGACACACATCAAGGCCGTTGCAGCATTTTGTCTAGAGCTGCAGCTGCAATGTTGTTGTTTTTTCCATCACACAAATGCACACATGTTGATGTTCCTTTCCTATCTGGGGAGACCACCGTGCTGCAGTACCATGGAGGGACACAGAATGTTCCCGTGAAACCACATTCTCCACCATCCAGACTTCTTACAGTAGACAAAAGAATCGTGCAACGGATCTCTTCATTTAGAAACAATAATGCAACTCTGGGAACCCTGGCGAATAACGCAATCTGGCTACATCTCCAGGATCTTCCCAGGGCAAAGAAGGAAGGGAGGGTTTGGGCTTTATTTGAATCCATTAAACTGCACTTTGGAAAGTCAGTAACTTGAGCTTTAGGCCAGATTCATGTTCACAAGAACAAAGTTGATGTGCCCATGTTTGGTAGCTATAATATGCAAAATGTTCACCACTTACAACAGCATCTTAGCATGCTGCTAGCTCTTGCTACAAGCACTAAATGTGCTGCACATGTGAGAATAACGACTTTCCACAGACAATTGTGTGTGTGTGTGTGTGTGTGTGTGTGTGTGTATGTGTGTGTGTGTGTGTGTGTGTGTGTGTGTGTGTGTGTGTGTGTGTGTGTGTGTGTGTGTGTGAAATCTCTAAGGAATGACTTGAAAACTTTTGTTGAAACTTTCGGACACCAATAATTACGCATGCATCCCCAACTCATTTACTTGAGTGTCTAAATAAAGATGGCTATCAATAAAAACTTTAATAAAATGTTTCCTTTCTTTTTCGGGTAGCTTAATATTAGACTCTTGACTTACTGTAGGCCTGGGACGATCACAAAGTTTGCTGGACGATATATTTTCCAACAAATTATTGATGATAGAGACCAAAATAACCACTTATGTAACGTTAATATATCATAATAATTTAAGTACACCTTTTAAAATGCAACAATTAAATATTTATTTAACATTAGAATGTCCAGAAGCAGAACTTCTAAATAGATAAATAAAACAAACAAACAAACAAAAATAAAAAAGGACTTTCACTCTCTGTTGGAAAATATTGCACCAAAAACAATAAAATAGACCCTGACTCTCCAAAAAAAAAAAATTATAAACAATGCCCTTTCTAGTGTCAGCAACCAAAACTGCACTTCAATAATAATAATAATAATAATAATAATAAATAATAATAATAATAATAATAATAATAATAATAATAATAATAATAATAATAATAATAATAATAATAATAATAATAGATTTGTACATTTCTTAACCTTGTTATACTGAAACTGGAAAAATTATTGAGTTCATTTTCATCTATCGAACAATTGATTTACTGATTATCGTCCCAGCCCTAACTTACTCTAAACAAATCAAACACACAGACCCAGGCACGCTTTTGTCACCAAGCCCTGCCCTCTCAAACCTAAACAGACAGCCCATGACTTCAACAAGATGTGGCAGCAAGGAGAGGAAATGGTCCTGATGAAAGTTACGGTAGTTCACCAGGACGGCAATATTTTAATCAAACAAAAAACAATAGTTGTTAGTTCAGTTTGAAGAGAATCGATCGAACCAAGTCTAGTTACACAATCAACTTGTTTTACCACTAAAGGTTGAATATGAAAAAAGTTTTTTTTTTAATAATACCGCCATGGGGCGATTAGAGGTGTGCAGAATGAAGGTACAGCGCTTCCTTTAAATTCTATATTTTCATTAAAATATAATCAAATGTTTATTTTGACAAGCACAACACTGGGTTTATGTTTACATCTACCAGACAATAGAGGACACTGTTGCTTGTTGCCAAACAGTCCGCTGGCACAGCGAGGATGACACTGTGGAAAATGGTAGACTCTACAAGTCAAGCAGCTGCTTCTAAGCCCAGAAGATGTGGTTATCCTTCTCAGAAGAGGAGCGACGATAAAATATCTAAAACTGGAGTGAATTTAGGTGAAGCCGACAACAGACCCAAATAAAATATTCCATGTATCGGCAACAAACCTGGTATCCAGACGACTGGAAACCTTGTTCTATTGTTGCAACTACAGCCTCCACTCACTGGATGTTGTGTTAGTGTTTGTGTTCCATAATAAACTTAAAGACCCATTAGTCATCATCACACACTGGTGAAATCACATTTCTACATTTGACCCATCCCTATGGCTGTGCTCTGGAAGAATTTGGCGGTGTAACCCCGAATCCAACCTGAGTGTTAAGCAGTGAGGCATTGGCTCTAACTTTTAGTCTTTGGTATTACCCCACCTGATTAGAACCACGATCTCCCACTCACAGGGTGGACATCCCTACCATTAGGCCACTCGGATTTTTATAGTTCAATAATTATTGATATCGATCAACATGGATTTCTTTTATCATTATGTTTTTTTCTACATCAACCAGCCGTACTCTAAACATAGATTTACAGATGTTAAGCTACAGTTTGGTGTTTTAGTAAATGAGAGTCATTCACAACATTCTCCACGAGCCAACAGGTCACATGAGATCTTGTAACATTCCATGAGGGCTTATGGGTAATTTTCAAGATTTGGGCTTGAGATCGGTGCAAGAGAACATAAACCACTAATGCAGGTCTCCTGTATGTTTTAAATAAAAACAATGCAGTACTTAGATCATACTGTAGGTGGTAAAGGGACAATATCATGCAAAATTAACTTTTATGGATTTGATCAAATTTTATTATTTCCTCATCAAAATCATCCCCAAAGCTGTTTATGGCTTCACGCATGCATCCTACTCTGTGAGCAGCTGATCTGCAAACGGTTGGATGGCGCAGGTTAGCATCATCATGTACCCGTCATGGTAGTGCCCAACCTGCACAAGGGGATTTTCGGATGGATTACTTCTTCAAACCGGCGCCATTCCACCATTAAAACCTAGGGCTGGGCGATATGGCAAAAATAGAATATCACGATTTTTCCAATATTTTATCACGATTTCGATTTTATCACGATTTTTTATCCATGAATAGCATAACTTCAATTGCGTATTAAAGTAGAGAAACATTGAATAAATAAACATTTATTCATATTAGGGATAATCAGCACAGTGCTAACGCACTTATATTTTAAACTCACACCAGAGATGATAAAAGCCCTGAGAGAAACAATTACAAAAATCAGTTTTTCTCGTTTTTCAAGTAACTTAACATAAATTAAAATCGTAAACATATTTAAAGTGCAAACATGTCAATTGCAAACGTATTGTGCAAACATTAACTTGTTCAAAATACTATGTAGCTCCCAGTTGCTCATGTAGTGGATAGTTAAGCTCAAATACGGCTCTGATGTGCGGCTGGACCAGAGATCGCTTGTGGTAGCAAAAAACTGCACATTCTGAATATTTTCTGCAACAAGTCTCTAAATAAAGTAAAATTTTCCAGTGCAGATTGGAGACAACCCATAGAAGCACTGATTTGATCTCATTTCAGAGAAAAATAGAACAGGTTAGATGCACCTAATAAATAAAATTACTAACAAACTCAGGAATCTTTCTTTGCTTCACTGTTCTGGTGCTGAAAATATCACTAATGTGGATCAAAGGAGATACAAAGATGAATGCACCTCTTATTATTTGGAAACTACATTTACT